ACACTTTTAAAACCCAACGCGACTCCGTCCCATTGATCATATCGATTTTCTTTGTGCGCGATAATAAATGTATTTTTTATTACACACATTTACGTGTATTTATATTTTTCATTTGTTTATATTTAGTTTTACTTATAATATTATTCAACTTTATTTTAAATAACATTTTTATTGATATTTTATTTATTAGATCCGCCAATTGACTAATTGATTTAAAAAAAAAAAAAAAAAAACAAAAAACAAAAATCTCACATGCACAGACATGACGGTACGTTGCAATAGTTTTGTTTTTATAACGCGATTGTGAAAACTGTGTCGTGTGTCTCTCGCGATATCTCGCACGCGCAAGTCGGACACCTTCGTTCCGACAAGGTGGAAGTGATGGCCGGGGCGCGCACGTGTTGAATGCCTTATAAAGTACGAATGAGAAGCGGACGTCCTGAAGCGTATTATGTAACATTGTCTTCCTCTCTCCCTTTTTGCCGGTAATTAATATCGCTTGCTTTGCTTATTAACCTTCCATCGTTCGCGCTAAACGACGTATCTCCTTTCTCCAATTATATACCGGTAGATCCGTTGGAAGAACGGGGTCAGCCGTGAGCCCAAATATGTTTCGGCAAAAATCGCGACACTACCCACGCGTCAGCGGGATATATAATATAAAACGGTAGTGAGTGCGCGCGCGCGGTGAGAGCCTTGAACCTGAAACCACCGTTTGCGAAAGCGAGATGATGGCACAATATACATACACAATGCTTCTCTCCTGGCGGTCGGTTGAGACAAATTAAAAATTCTTTCTTGATTAAATATCACAATCTTTTTTCAAATCTAATTACAATTATATTTGAGCTGAAGAACGTCAAGTAATATTTTTTCAAGCGATTTGAAGCGAGAGGAAACTCCGAAATTGCAGATACGGAATTACGCGTCACGTGTACACGTAACGTGCAATTGCATTTGTTATATCATCGCGCTCTCTGTTGTGTGTTTGTATAAAGAGTTTTATCTAACAAAAAAAAAAAAAAAAAACGTTACATTTGGGCGCCGACATAGTTGATTCAGCGTTTAAATCGGTCGCATACACACACACACATACCCGATGTGTTAACTTCGTTCTCTCGTGTAACGTAATGTCACGATCTTACGTGTGACGATGTACCGCAATGTGTCGAGCTGTTCTCCTGGCCACTTCCTGGCTCGTCACTGGACGTTTCTTTCCGCGCGGGAAAACATCACGAACGCGCGTGTCATCGTCTCTCTTTCTCTCTCTCTGCATTTCGCTCGTTCGGAAGCGCGCGAACGTTTGCGCATCGACGATGAGAAAAAATGCGCACCAGCGCACGACGTGCAACGAGGCGACTTGAGTGCATCTTGCCGCGAAACTGCAATGCTTTCCGCGTTTTAGATATATGTGCTTCTTAAGTAATTTCAATCACACACAAATCTTTCGATACGCTCGGTCGAGGATGAAACAACTTGTGTGCGTGTGTGTGTGCGTGTGCGTACGCAGTGATTTTTAGTTTACACGTTTAACTGTAAATATTTAATTTAACTGTAAATTTTTTTATTCAATCTCAAAACAAATCTTTATCTCATAAATGGACAAAATATACGATTAAATAAATTATATATATATATATATATTGTGTACATTTCTACCCGGTAAAAAATTTTTCGTGCATAAAATTGTACGGACATATTTGGCATATAAATTTGCACAATTAAATATAATAATTTTAATATGTGTACAAGTATATATGATTATATATCGAAAATTTTTTTTAAATCTAGTAAAAATATAGTTTTATATAATTTTCTTGTATCTAACGTGATAACACTAATAGAGTTATTTTGTAATTTGATAGAAAATATCTCTCTGAAGCCATTCTCTCGAAAAAAAAAAAATTCTCCGTGTATAAAATTGTAAACGGACATATTCGGCATATAGGTAAATTTGCATTAATTAATAATATAAATAATATAAATAATATTAATATAAATATTAATATAAATAATATTAATAATATAAATATAATAATTTTTTAATTTGCGTATAAGAGTACACGTGAAAAATTTTTTACCGAGTATAAAAAATTAATTCTATGTACAGAGAGAACGAAGAGAGAGAGAATAGTTTTCTGAAATCTTCTCTATAAGGAGTGTGATTGACAGTGCATGTAGCTATTGTAAACTTTCTCTCTTCCTTCGCAATTTAATTTACTTTGAATCTATTTCTGTTTTTTTTTGTTTTTTTTTTAACCGATTGGCGGTTGTCGCGCTTCGACGAATTTTAGCGAACGATTTACATAGGCGGAGAGTTGTTTTTGAAAAAAGCCATCGCATACGCGCCATCGAGTAGTTAATACCTATTTTCGTTTGGTCCGTACACGTTCCACGGAATTTTATTTGACGGCAGCGGACCGTAACGAAATCCCTCGGCGCTGCGCGCCAGCTAAAATCCCATTCTGGGGGAACGCGATTGGCGGGCGCTTGATTGAATTGGTGGTGACCGGTTGGGCATTAAGGTCCAGCTTGCAAAGGATTGAATTTCTCTCGTCACAATTATCGACCCGTTTTCTCTTATCCTCGCGCGTACGACCCACCGCAAATTCCGCGGTAATCGTCTAAATGCAGCTGGTGCCTTTAATAGGATGGGCAACGGGGAAGGAAGGACGGGGGGGAGAAACCAAATCCACACACGAGAGCGCAGATACCCAAATGACATTCAAACAAACAGCCCGCATTTTTATGCAGAGTTCTCATTGCCAAAAAAAAGATTCCCATAAACTTAGAAAACGTACAATTGTGTACAAATTGAAGTTTGTTGTCTTCGGTTTTGAAATTAGATAACGATGCATAACAATCAATGTGCGGATTATGATTGTAAAAAATACAAAGAGAGTTTATCAATGAGAAACTTTGCTGAAGAAAATCTGCTTGATTGGAAGTTGTGATCCCGTTTGAACTCGGTCAATATTAACACAAAACAAGTTTGTATCATTGACACAATTGGAAAGCTTCGAAAGAAGAGTGTCACGGTCGATCCGAATTGACAGCACGTAAATCTTTAAGAAACTGAAAACGTGAGATGAATCCGCGGAATATGATACGATCGAGATCGCGCGTATCGAGTCTGTAGTTTCGAGCGAGTCTCATTGTCGAAAATGTTCGCGTATCTAAACATGCTATTAGAGTTGTTTATGACACAATGAGCGAACGAAAAGCGATTAATGTGTGAAAAAATATCGCTTATATTATTTCCGTTGCTTCGCGGAAGTTTCGAACACAACTCGTTGTGTTCTCGAGACGTTGGCATTGTGCTGTCCAACGATAATTGACTTTGATCTAGATTGACTTCTCAGATCTAGATGCGGATCTTGACCTCCGTTAACTGAGTATCGGTAAATCGAACTGGATTAAACGGACATAGTCTAATACAGAGAGTTGTATGTATATATATATATACAATCGATTCAACTCAAATGTATTATTCGATCTGATGAAATATTTCAGACCATTTGATTAAATTAGCGGACAAACTTACTTTGATGATAATTGAAGGGAAAAGAATTAATTTGTTCTTGTCTCCAAGTTAAAAATGATTCTTCATATCGCTAAAAAACTCTGATAAAACTATGATCAATTATTCTATCAATAATTATTAATTATCGTATTATTATTATTAATTATATATATTGTATAGTATTTAATACGTAATTATTTAATATGTTGTAATTATTTAATTTACACATATTAATTCTGTGCGCATTCTTTGTAATATAAAACATCCATAATTATATCACGCGTTACGTGTAATAATTATAACAAAATTCCACTGCTTTATTGTTCTTTTTTTTTTTTTTTTTTCTAGATGAGAAACAGGCAAGAAAGGGTTAAATCCGTGTGTTTCGTGTCGGAAAATCGTACTCGAGAAACTAATTGAGAACCACGAAGTGTGCTCCGTTAACGAGCGTAATTGTTCTTGGATACAAGGGGATTTAATTACACGGCACTTCTCTCTTTTGCTCTCCGTGCTCCGAAGCGCGGCGTATCTCTCCCTCTTATTATTAATGAGCGACGTTCCCGAAGGTGAGTGATTACGCAAAAAGTGGCCGATGTATCAACAGTCGTCGCTTTTTAGCCTGATTCTGCATTATTTGTTTACAAGCAATCAAATTGCTGGGAACTCGCTGCGAGTTAATTAATCAGTTGGCGCACGGTCGGCCGGTCTACGCCGTCGATTCGCGCCGATATCGTTTCGTTGCCATAATTTCTGTCACGTTCGAGATAGTGCGAAACAGTTGGACAAAAATCAGTGCGTGCGTGAAAATTTCTCGATCAAATTAGAAATATATACCAAAGGTTGCATATTTCTATTTTTTTTTTTTTTGTTTCGCGGAAACAAATAACATAACTCGAAAAATTTCAATCAAAAATGCGAGTTCAGATTTATCACGAGAAGATTTTGTAAAAAATTTGGAAAAAAATGTGATAAAATAAAATTGTCGAGAAAAATATATACAAAACGATTTTATATATATATATATATATATATATACCACCGATAATCCGTCAATTTTTCGACTATTTATTTTTGTTACTATTTCGCATGCAATCCCATCGACTGCTTCGATTCGCAATCCTGCGTAAGATACGTGACGTTTGCGTTTTATCCGCGGATAAACCAATCGCGATCGATTTCTGTTGAGAGCCAGTGTTTACGCGTTGGAATTACATGTGTGTTTATATATGATCGTGTATATATATATATATATACATATATATATATACGCACATATACAAACGAAACAACAACACACTCACCGCGTTTGGATATCCGGGAAACACACAAATCCGTTGCTGCTCCTCTCTATTCTCTTCTCTCTTCTCTTCTTTTTTATCGCGTATCCGACAAAAAACAATATCAATTTATCACATATCTCCTCTCTCTCTCTTTTCTGATACGTGATTTCGCGCGACCTTTCTTCCGCTCTCTTCGTCCGCGCGCGTTTTATACAAAGTTTCTCTTTTCTTCTCGTCTCTCTCTCCCGCGATTCCAGAACAATCTCCGCGCACGTATTGCTTACTCTACTATTGTGAAAAAAAACATTTTATGACGGGATTAAAAATGAATTACAATCTCATCGGGAATATAAAACGGGAAAAGAATGAGGTGCGGCGTGTGAAAACGATCGAACGCGCGCGCGTTCACGCACACAAATTTTTTTTTTTTTTTATTTAAGCGCGCCGATCTTTTCCCATACAAACCGGCGAACTTTTGTCCGTGTCACGTGCCACAAAGACCTGTTTCGTCGTGCCCACCCGTCGTGCTTTCTCTCTTCTTCTTCTTCTTCTCAGTCAGTCTCTCGCAGGAGAACGACAAACACAAATATCACTTTCTCTATATGTCTCTTGTGCTCGTTGGTTATACCTCAACACCCGTTCGCATACCTGTCTGTTATTACTTCGTCAGTAATAAATGGTATCTGTATATAACATGTGTCTCTTATTTTAACCTTCCTTTTCGCGTCTCAGTATTTTCTCTCTCTTTCTCTCACTCTCTCTCTCTCTCTCGACAGATTTCTCAGAAACAACAAATCTGTTTGTTCACTCGCGTTTGTCTTTCTTTTTTTTTTTTTTTTTTTTTGTCTTCCTCGCTGTCCTCACCTCACGGCGCCGCGTCGCTGCTGCTGCTGCTGTTGCACCTGTCCGGCCTGACAAGCCGTCGCCGGCGCACTTTCACAAATCGCGCTGCTTTCGATCGCGCGATACGCGCAAAACACACCCCGCCAACACGGACGCTTCGATTCGACTCTTCTTCTCTTCGCGGAGAGCGGAGCGATCGCGAAAAAAAAAAAAAAAATCTGATCGCTCCGCCGAAATTTCACGTCGGCCGGAGAAGAAAAGGCGCTTCCGCGCCTCCGAGGCAATCGATCGATTCTCTCGATCGATATCGCCCAAAGAATCCTCCACGATTCTTTGAAACAAAGTTCACACCGGATCCAAGACGATCCCGCGATGTTTCATGTTCGTTTCAAAAATCTCTTTTAATTCTTCTTTTTATTTTGAATATTGTGTGAAGCGAGAAAATCAAATTTCTATCTTCTTCGAAACAAAAAAAATCGCGCAGTTTTTCTCGTCGAGAGTTCGGTATCTCCTCGTATTTCAAATTGCTCTCGGCAGAGAGTTTTCTTTTTCCCGGCGGGAATATAGTAAGTCACGAGCGCGAGGTTTAAAAAACGGAGGATTTCCGAAAAGAAAAAATAATAACCCGAGTGTGTTGTTCGCAGAACTACCTTCCGTTCGGTGCAGGCGTCGAGTGGCGACTGTCGTTTCTTCCAACGTTCAGTCTGCCTCCGGCCTGTCCCTTCCCCCTCTTCAGCTGCCGGGAACCGACTACGCACACTTCACGGATTTATGCTATTACCGCACTGTGTGTTTCACCCCCTACGGGGGGAGCCGCTACGCATCTCCACTTCTCCGCATCCACCCCCGGTTGGTTCTTCTTCTCTTTTCAATTTTCACTGCCGCGCCTTGTCCGTAGGCAATGCGAAAAGAAATTTTGACGGTCACGCCGTCAAAAACACGAAACAAAGCGGGAGGATTTTTTAATCAATCAATTCTCGTCGCTTAATTGTTAAAGAGATACGTGTCCGGTACCGAGTGAAATTTTTATTACTTCGCGCTGCAATACATATCTGTAAATAAATTCGCGACTTTGCGTATAATTTTTGGAACAAAAAAACCAAATGGTAAAACTTATTTTTTTTTTTTTTTTTTTTTTATGTCCGTCCAGATCAAAAAATTTTCTCGAACCGTGCGGCGGTCTCTCTCTCCCTCTCTTGAATTTGCGCGCGATTTCGAGCAAGAAATAAATCAACCGAGAAAAACCAACCTGACGGGCGCGTATTAACGTCTCTCTCCGTCGAGGCTCTCCCGCGCGTTTCGGAGAGAGGGTTTAAAGCCGACTCCGTTATCGCGCGTCCCCGAAACTGCTGCGAGCGATCCCGGGAGGGATCTTCTTCTCGTTCTCTGATCCCGTCTGACGCGCGGACGATCCGCTTCGGGCTCCGATCCTGGGGGGCTCGGTTGGCGCGCAATGCCGGCAAACGCGATGTGGGACGGTTGAAGAAGGAGGATAGGGGTGATAGCAGAGAGTGGAGACGCGGGATATAACAGTAGGTCCTTATCGGAGGTCGCGCATGACGAGACAAGCTAATTGTGTTATCAGTGCGCAACGGACGCGTTGCAGCAATCCCGTCGCAGCATCGCTCGCTCTCACAAGCTCTCTCTCTCTCTCTGGCGCGCCCTTGCATAGCGTGTGCTTGTGTTTTCCAAACGGTGCGACAGACGCATCTAAGCGCCGGTGCTAGTCCGCAACGAGCGCGCGTTACAATAAAATACGCAAACATCTGACATCTCTAGAGTTCCCTAGAGCCGTTATACCTGTGTATCGCTCTGAGTAGTAATAGTAACGCGTGGTTAACCGGAGCACACAATGAGTTACCTCTATTCGTCGTGCATTAATTTATTACAAAGTCAACGCAATACCACGCGCGCGGCATTTACAGCAGCGCGCGCGCTGTCATCTCGTTCGTTACAATCATTAAAATAATTGCAGGCGTCGACACGGTGCAATGAGCAGCGATAAGAAAGATATTGGCCGTCGACGAATATTATCGTTATTGCGTTACTCTGTTCCTAGCTAACGTAGTAGTGCAATAATGCGATCGGCCAGTAGATAAAAGTGTTGACGCTCGGTTTTGCTTCGAGGATGAAAAAAAAAATAAAAAAAAGAGCAGAGGGGAGAATCTCCTCGTTCCGTGTCTGATCTTAATTACGACGTGGCGTATGGACCGGATCTCCCTAGCCCGAGGTCCATTCGCCTCGCGGTATGAATATCGCATTAAGTCGCGCGCGAGCGAGAGATAGAGCTCTAGGCTCTAGAGGGGGTTAACCCCGGGAGAGAAACTACGAATTTAATAGAATAATAAATGGAGCGCGCGCCCGGTGTGTTTCGCTCGAGGCGTAAATCAATGCTCTCCCCCCCCCCCTAATAGCGATTCGTCTTGTATGATAATAAGTCAGATTGCTTGAAAATTATGTAGCGATCTCAATATATGAAAATTGGAAGGAACATTTTGACATCTCGTAGGTCCCCCTACGCGTCGATGTATAAATTTTATTTTAATTCCGTTGCGTGTACGTATGTGTGTGCGTGAGGTGTATATCCGTGTGGAAAGTCATTTGCCGCGAAGCGATTACTTACACTTATACACCGGGTCCGCAGTTAAATATTGTAGAATTTTCCTCGATTAGGATTAGTCAAATAAAAGACAGATTTGTTTGTTTAAAAAAAATATGACAGAGTTTAATTAATTAATTAAACTCGAAAGAGAGCTTGTGTGCGCGCACACGTGATAATTGTCAGCGATATCAAATCCGGAGCGCGTAATTTTTTTTTCGTCTTCTGTCGACGCGGATGCGAAGTTTTCTGTTTGCTCTTCACAGCGTTACATCTTTAATCGTTATCCGTTATTCCGATCTGTCGAAAGGCAATCGATAGATCGATTAAGGAAAACCGGAAAATAATTATCTTCAGGACGGGTTCCACAATCATTTCACGTCGTTGAGAATTCTCAACCGTTATGTACGAATATTCGAAAACGCGATACAACTAACAAAATTGCGTACAATATCAATTTCAGTTCCTACGGTACTTTTTACAGGGAATTTTGATTTCTCACACTAATTCAAGACGGCTTAGTTTTTTTTATTAAAAAACAAAAAAATGCTTATCCTTAAAACCGCTCCTGATTGAATAAAAAAAAAAAAATAAAACAATAACGTACGGCTCCAAGAGATGAGTCCTCGTGTTCTTTAAACGTACGAATTTTCATTAAGATAACCCGTGTGGTTTTTGAAAGAAAGCGAAATTTTTGAAGAAAGCGAATTTTTTTTCTTCAACTTTGACACTTTGTATCTTTGAAACCGGACGCATTTCGAACGCGCGCGTCAATACGAAGTATTCGTCTTGAATCGGTGTGAGGGGAATCGCTTCTTAAAATCTCTTTCGAAGTACTTAACCACCACCCTGTATATAACCACCACCTTGCTTTTTCAAGAGTTTCTTGATTGCGAATAGAATGCAGTGTTAATGCCAATTTGTTTTTTTCTTCGAAGTAAACGGAGTCGGGGAAACGGAAACACCTTCACCAGCTTGCGGAATGTATCCCGCGAGGAAAACCCATATAGGTCTGTAGGAGTAACACCTAAATTAATAATCGCGCTTTACCGTCGGTAATTACACTCGGCGGCAGCTCGCATTTATGGGAGACGGTGACTGCGGAGGTAAAGCGCAGCGAGAGGAGAGAGAGAGAGAGAGACTTGTATGTAATTACGCATTCCCGCGTGTAGCAAGCGCGCGCGCGCGGTCAAGCTCTCTTGGTACACATTTGCCATAAATGAATCTCGCCATAATGAAACGCGCAAGGCGCGATATGTGTACTCGCGTGGAGAACAGAAAAAAAAAATCTCACCGAGCTTATGAATTTTATTCCCGCGTGTGTTAGTTCAATTCTCATCTTCTCGCGAACTCTCTTCTCAAAGTCAAGTCGAAAACCTACACCGAAAAAATTATATTCTTATAAGTAGAAGATTTTATACTTAAAAAATCTTCTTAAAGATTTTAGATGATATTTATCTGAAATTAAGAATATATTCTTTATTTAAGAATATATTCTTAATTTAAGAATATAGTCTTTTTCGATAGTGAGATATATATGTTTTTCTATATAGAGGCTTTTTATATTCTAATCAGTATATATTCTTATCAATATTACTATTTAGAGGATTTTCCTCTTAAAATAAGAAACTCTTCTTGGCGCCTATTTTAGTATAAAATATACTTAAAGTAAGTGGGATATCCTCAAAACAAGAATACAATTTTTTCGGTGTACGGAAACTGCGCGTACACGCGACGAGGAGTTCGTTGATCATCACTTAGGACGTATGGAAACGTCATCGGATATTTATGTAGAGATTACGTAGAGAGAGATATACGCGCGTACGACTCCGATACATCTCCCCCGTAATGAACTCGCTGCGGCACGACGAGTACACGCGCCGCGCGTGTAACGCGCATCGCTCCGTTATCCGAGGGTGCGAGAGACAGATCGAACTGTTCTCGAGCAATCCTCTCTCTGTGATGTGTTACAGGTTCAATGCATTAGTTTGCCTAAAAGGTTTGCGCCATCAGTCTCTAAACGCCTCCCTTTGTCGTTCGCCCACCGCGCTTCCCCGTCATCGCCCTCTCGCTCGAATCGCGGAGCGATCTCTCTGTTTTCTCTCTGATCTCTCTCCTCCGCTCGCGCTGCCAGCAGTTTGTTCGCGCGAACAAACATCCTCCGGGGGGGGCAAAAAGAGGGCAAACACACACACCCCCTCCCCCTTATAATATATAGTATAGTAGTGTGGCACGCACGTGTGTGCGCGCGCGTGGTCGATGCTCGCGTGTAAATCAAGTGCTGCGTTGCATCAGTGGAATTCACGATGGGTTAGTGCGGCGTGTTAATTCACGCTAATGGACAGGTTATGAAAGTTTAATTGTCGGTGGTTGGGGGCGCACACTGCGCACACAAGAGAATGAGATGCAAGGGGAATTGTGCGGGGAAGCTGGCGTTGTTCACCGCGTTTTTGAAGAAATTTTTTATTTTTTTACTAACAAGATATGTATAAGGCCTTATACGAGGCCATTCTCAAAATGTTTTGAGTAGAAACTGTACGTGTATACACCGAAAAAATTGTATTCCTGTTTTGAGGATATCCCACTTACTTTAAGTATATTTTATACTAAAATAGGCGCCAAGAAGAGTTTCTTATTTTAAGAGGAAAATCCTCTAAATAGTAATATTGATAATAATATATACTGATTAGAATATAAAAAGCCTCTATAGAAAAACATATATATCTCACTATCGAAAAAGACTATATTCTTAAATTAAGAATATATTCTTAAATAAAGAAATATATTCTTATAACCTTTTCGCTCCGGGACTGGTCCATATATGGACCAGCAAGAAAAGCGAACGTAATAGATGTTTATAAGGTCAATTTAATGCACTAAATTTAGGAAAAAAATTGAAAAAAATCCTGGTTACTTCTTTGACCTTCAAAATTAACTTTGAAGGGGGGGGGTAGCAGGTTATTATTAACTTTTTCAGCTAAAATGCGAGGTCAATTTTAAAGGAAAAATCCTCGGAGCGAAAAGGTTAATTTCAGAAGAATATCATCTAAAATCTTTAAGAAGATTTT